AGAAGCACCATTGGAGTGAGTGCATTGTATTTTGTGGAAACAAGTTGGGGAGGGGCAGTCATCCATCAGACGAAGCGTTCTGTGCCTCTTTTGTCCTCCATGAAAGCAAAAAAGCTTGACTTTGGAGCATCAAGTCAATGCCGATCGTTTTGTATTTAATTGCAGTTCGTTCCCCTTGGTGGTCTTGGTCAAGCATCTGCCAAATCACTCCAAAATGGTCGCAATCGGGGAAGCGCAGGATGTGTGAAAGGAGAAAAATTAAACTTGCTTTTGGAGTGCGGCAAAGTAGGGGCAATGGTACTGACATAAATCTATTGAGACGTATGAAAACTTAAACGAGATAGCCTTGCGGGAATTAGGTGCAATAGGTGGCAAACAGTGCTCGCTTTTTCGTAGTAACTACGCATTTTAAGCGCTTGAGCATTGCGCAGCGATCTCCGTCGATGCGGCAGATTTGAACGCCTAAGCGGTACGCCCGCGGCCACGGCTCTAGCGTTGCGCTTGAGCTGATGGACAAGGAAGTCGTTGGCGTAGAATGTACGCGCACGAAGCTATAACGTGGCAATTGCGTTTGCGGTATTGGAGGCACATATTTGACACAGACTGTATGTCAAAAAATGCTTCAGTCTCTGGGATATGAGTTGAGATTCAGTTAGGTCAAAGATTGCGTTTTCTTACAGTTCGCAATCAGTCTTTTGCTGTGCATATCTAATACAGAAACAAAACGTAGTACTTATCGGTAAAGAATTGAACGTGCGGAAGACAGAGGTTAACGTACCGAGAAGTAGGTGATGCCTTAAAAAATGAGATGGTGGTCAACATGAGATAATAACCATTCTATGGTTGGAGCCTTTCAAAATGAAACATGGTTTTTCTGTCACAGATTTTTAAAATGCCTCCGAAAAGAGCAAGTATTGGAAGGGCTGATCCTAATGCAAAGAGGATGAGAGCAGCAAGAGCAGGAGAGACTTCGGAGCAACGTGAAACACGTCTTGAAGTTGAACGTGTAAGAATGTCTCAGTCTAAAGCTCCAGAAACATTAGTAAAACGCACAGATCGTCTTGAAAGTTAGCGCCAAGAATCTCCAATCTTTGGACTTCTGAAACACCGGAGGAGCGTGAATATCAACTCAGTAGCATGCGGTAAGAATGCGTGAGATGAGAGCTGCTGAAACATTAAAGCAGCGAGAACTTCAACGTGAACAAGACAGACTTAGCATTCCTGAACAACGTACAACAGAAATACAAGAATAATACAGAGAAAGACTTGAGACAAATAGGACACGAGAAGCTGAACGCAGAACTGGGAAGTCCAACCCAGCGTCAGGCAAGACTTGAGGTTATTCGCTTGAACGTCGCCCAGTCACGTGCAGCAGGAACACTAGACCAACACAAATCTCGGCTAGAGTTGTTCGCCGACGCCAAGCTCAGACGTACAAAGAAGCAGGTAAGTGATCAGAGATTTGCAGCTTCTAATTACATGCCGAGTCAAGACTTTTCTGCACATCCGAAAGTAGACATTGGAATGATGGATTTTTTATTCTGGCTTACAACTCCTGAAATTTTCGAAATTTACTAGTTTCTAAATGATGCCTGTAACTTTTCAAATACGTGTTCAAAAACTCAGACAGTTTGTGCGAGATCACCAAAAAGATGGTGTGAGAATTTGTTGTCCGCGTGAACCAGCTGCGCCAGCAGTTGGAATTTACCAGAATCGTCCAGTACCAATCGCAACCGCATATCAAGACGTTCAGAAACGACGATTGCTTGAAACCGCGACGAATGGTCAAAAGTTGGGATAGCATGTGACCATCTAACAAGTGGGTGATCGATCTTACAAGTTTTTTACATTTACAACGCTAATTTGAATATTTAAAGATTTTAGAAATTATTTCAATGGTTTACAAGTATAAACAAGTCATTGCACAATTATATAGCCCATATAAGCAACTTTCAAAAATTTCACGACCCATTCTCGGGGAAGGGCCCTTCCACCCCCGACCGTCACTGGAATGTACATATGCTAAAGGGAGAAAAGTAGCGTTGCGAGAATGGTTTTGACGGTGCACAAAGCGGAAGAGCCAAGCAGATTCAGGGTAAGGTAGATGGAAAGAATTCAGATTGATCTGTGCGGACTCAAAGACATATAGACCTTTGAGATGAAAGTTTGTGCGGAAAACAGATCCTACTGCATGAGCGAGACATATGCAAGGTAAGCATATGCATAAGCAGTTATAATAGCGAGGCTTTGCTTGGAAACCAGCACGCAATGATCGACGATAAAACTGTTTAGCCTACTCAGTTCTCTTGAACTTTCTTTTTTGAATCTTGCTTTCCTTATTTTTGCAATTCTTCCACTTAATATTGATAAGCCCTTTATAAGCTCTTTGTTTTAGACCTCGATTTCAACAATGTACAGAACTTCCTCTTGGTGTCTTCGAGTTTTAGATTTGCGTCATTACGATTTATGTCGTACTTATTACTGAGTCTAGTATGGAGGATGAGAATTAACAATAATAAGCAAATCAGCGATAAGCGTCACATCATATATCGTGCAATTATCCAATTTCTCACTTTCTTCTTAAAGGCAGAAAGCAAGGTCTTCATGTATCACCATATGTCAAGATGCTGCACACATTGTAACAAATTCATCCTCATTACTGATTTCAGCCATCGACTTTTGCGTTTTTCATACTAGCGCTACTACGAATTTATAGCTTATGTTCTACACTTGAGGTTTAGATTTGTTCAACATCATGCTCTATATCAGACTGATATACTTTGTACCATCTATTGTATTGTATATAGTCGTCGTCGTTCTTCTATATCGAACAAAGCAACGGCTTTCCGGTTCTTTTTATTCGCTGCTTCTCTTGCAAGCAATCACTGTAGGTTCAGAGACATTCATTATTTGTATTGGAATTGTGTTCCAATTATAACAAACAAATTTATTGCGGGTTTTAGAACATTGTGGTATTCACTAACAGTTTTTATTACGTACAGTTAGCAAACGAAACTAAAGATAGTAGTTGGTGGCACAAAATTTACACGAATGCTCCTGAAGCACTTATACGAATAGTGAGTTTCACAATCTGCACTGCTTCTCCTTGCCCTTTTATTGATAATAAGCTTGTCTATCAGACCAAATGCCTGGCAACACATCTGGCTTTTTCACAAGTCTATATGACATTCTTCATCTCTCTCAATCGAATGACACTTATAGTCTGGCCTAAAATGCGTGATGAGGTAAGTTTACCTGTTTGCCAATGCTTCACTTTAACGCTTTCAAGACAAGAAATCATACTTTTGTCAGACGATCTAAAACAAAATTTACAACAAACAAAACAACTTTGTCATGTGGGTAATTCCAAGAAATCAATGTGGCAGTGGTGGCCCAACAATCATTTTCGGAGATAGAGGGGAAAGACAAATACTTTTTTTGGAATGAAGGAGCTCTTCTAAGGACTGACCGCATCGCAAGTAGGAAGCTCTGTAAATAGGGAAAACTTTTTGTTAATTATTAGCAGGCGAACCATCAATGACTAGAGCGCTTGTTGCAACAGATCAGAAAACAGAGTGTTTTGTAACTCAAAAAAGTGATTCCGTTTGGTATTAAAAGTACTACGAGGCAAAAACTTTCCCATACTCGTTTTTTGCGAAGAAAGTAATGATGTAGTTTGAGCGTTCCTTAATAGCAGATGAACTTGAGTTGCATACAAAAACATTGCAAACTTCACTTTTTGCCTCTGTTCCATGTTCAAAGTCTTTCATTTTGTGATAAAAATCCTTCACGTCACTACAGGGACTTTTTCATTATTCAGATTTGGAAGAAGGCAGTACCTGCATGCGCAGCTCTGGCATGCTTTTCACCATTCATAGCTACGTATCCTTACCTCATTAGGCGTGCCAGATGGACGTACAGTCGTGTCTGTCAGTGCTACATTGTGCTTTCCGAAACGGTAAGGCTCATTTAGACCGTTTTGATAGTTCATTTACTCGTGCGATTCAGGACAGTGCACAAATTATGGGGCAGCTCTTTATTTTCCTCTGCGCTTTTTTGGCATTGTCATCTGCTGTAAACATCGTTTCGGTTAGCTTTCTATGTAAAAGAACAAGACACTCAAGCACACATTTGGAAAGAAAAATGCTAATCCTGGCTTTTCTCAGCTTCTTAATAGAATGTACCTTCTTCATACTATATGTAAGTCTTTTGGTTTGTAGCTTTGAGCACTGGAACCTGTACAAACGAACTCGTTTCAGACACTTATCTATACATCCGATTATGCTTCGGTGTCGTCAAGACTTATTCCATACGCGTCTGACTTGATGACACTACATATACCTTATCTTCTCATACTTTTGAACAAAAACATTCGCGGACAACTTCTCAGATCTATCAAAAGTTGCAAAGCACTAATTTCCGAAAAAGACGCCATCGTTAATGTGAGAACTCCGCGAAGCATCTTTAGCGTCGCAGTCATGACCTAAAGTTATCCTACAAGCATAGCTTGATAGTGTTTCTTTATTACTCCTCATTTCAAAGCTATCGATAAAAACTCCCTGATATAAAGCTGTTCATGTAAATCAAAAAAGAGCGGATTAACAATATTTGAAATTCTATGTGGGCCATTATTTAGTAATAACTGGAAGGCTAATTTTATTTCAGTTGCACATACATTACAACAAAGTTAGTGAAGGCATGTTTTTGCATCTCGCAGAAATGAGGTAACATAAAAAAATACAAAATCAAGGTGGAGGCAAATTATTTTCATGCATGGCGCATGCACTCATTGAACAGCTTGCGACTTCCGCGGAATAACCAAATGAATAGAAGTGTAACACCTTCGAAATTATATTCGAGAACATCATAGACTTAAAGCAAGTGATGTGAATTGTTCTCTACATTGATTAGAAGCATAAAAAGCTACTGGTGTACAGTGCATAATTGTTAATTTATAAAAAAGTAGATTTGAAAAGACAAGCTGCGTCTAAAGTGAAAGTGCCACAGAAGCGGAAAACGAAACGGAAAGATTTGGTAAATAGTACACGAATTCAGATGCGCATCGAAAGAAGAATTCATAACGAGATCCTACACATAAAGAGAAACCAAGAGTTATCGCTTCGTAATTTGTGGCGACTGCTAAAGAAGACGTTGTTCATGCAACAAATGCCACCGCTTGCCGATATCACCTTGGGCAGTTCATCTCGTCTGGATAGCGTATGTATGGAATCAAAGGGTTCCCACCAGGATTCACAGTCAGTTGCCGAGAATATACCCGAGCTCTCGAAGGCCTTAAAATCATGAATCTCTCTAAAAAGTCATTGGATGCTGAGCTATTCAGTGAAATGGAACGATACCGCAATGCTTGATCCTCAGATACTCCTCTGCCCAACCTTCGAGAGTTCTGTGTATCACGACGTTCTTGTAAATCTCTTTCTTCGTATGCGGGATCAACCCTACTCCATTCACGAAAAAGTGTGTCGCTTTGTGCATCCACACTAAAATTTTCGCCTATCAAAGCGAGATATGATTTGGGAAAACAACAACTTTCCTATAGTCACGATTGTTCAATCGTCGTCTATGCGAAGTTGGCGGTGGGTTGATATTTGGATATGGTCTTGTATTCAAATGTGGTACACTTCCCGTTGGAATACGGTTTAGCAGTGACAATCTACGATGCTCTAGAAAGACGTGCTGAATTAGAAGATGAAAATAAGCAAAAAGTGCTACAGTTCTTAACCTTAACAAACCCTTTTTTATGCTCCTTTCTCAGGGACTTGCACCGTGCGGGCGGCCAGCGACGAACTTACAATCGCTCGTTGGTGTGTGCGATTGTATGGTCGTCGAGGGCCGTTAGCACGGTTAACGTGGGGCGCCCGCACGGTTTCTAATGCTCGCCGCTTGCGCGGGGAAGGTCGGCCGCTCGCTTGCTGCTGGAGTAGGTTTATATGGGGTATTTTAACCATTTTTCTTAGGTATGTTAAGCATTTTCACAACCTGGGAACACGGACCAATGCCTGCCGCACTACCCAAACTTTCCATGGAAAAGCCCACACCATCACTCTTGATAACTGAAGCCGGGATATTTTAACCATTTTTCTTAGGTATGTTTTTTTTAGGTACACACAGGTTCATTCCAGCTTTGCGGTGAAGGGAAATGTTGATAACATGATAGTCGACGCTTAGCCAGCCTAAACGCTGCGTCGTATCTCATGCAGGTACCGTTTACGCTCATAGTGGGTGAAAACAATGAGCCGAAGGTAGAGGTCGCTTGCACGGGCACATGTTTGCCGCCCGATCGAACGGACACATTGCCTGCCGCTTGCACGGTCGATTTTATTGCGTACCGACTGCGCGGCGAGATTGCCTGCCGCTTGTACGATCAAGTGATTGCTGGCCGATCGTGCGGACGCATTGCCTGCCGCTTGCACGGTCGATTTTATTGCCTGCCGATCGAACGGGTAGACTGTCTTCCGCTTGCACGGCATTTTTATTGTTGACCGCACGCACGGTACATCAAAAACTATGCAGTGCGCTTAGGCGGAGGAGCTGTAATGAGGACCGCCCGCACGGCGCAAATCCCTGAGTTGTTGTTTTAGACACAGCAGATAGAGCGCTTTACTGTTCTGACTCCGTTTTTGAGGAATATCATTTTAACCAATTTACCTAAATCACTGCCCGCACTGTCCACGCTGCTTGCAAAAATTGCTTCTGGTGCACTCGATTCTGTAGAATTTGTGCTGTCCATGCTTGACACAGCAGCTGTCGACAAAAACTTTCGTCGAAGGAAAAGTGATCTGAAAATCGTTTATAGAATTCTTCGACCTTTTTTGTTCTCTATTGCACCAAACGTGATAAGGATTGATTAAATGAGTGGCTTTCATTACAAATAGGGGTCGAGAGTGGAAGTGAGCATTACATCCAAATTTGAAGGGGGAGAAGATATAATCTACATAAGGAAAGTCATGAGGACATGCGTTGACCGGATTCTAGACATTCCAATTCTTGGCAATATTGTACCTTGCATAGTTGTGTGGCGAATCATTGCTCGCCCACAACTTCGCATCTTGCGATCTGGAATGACGAGTAAACGATCTGCGTCGTCTGCAGCGCTCGCAAGTTTCGTTCCTCTCATATACTGGACTCATGTCAAATCGTTTACTGCTGAAGAAATTTCTACTCTTTCTCAGGTATTTCGTCATGGGCACTTCGACTGTGGGTGTGGGTGGTAGCTCTCTCGAACGTCGGCGGTTCTTCTGGTCGTAGATGTAAATACATGTGTTGCGATGGTCTGGCGATTCTCGTATCGGAAAATGATCGCTAATGTTTTGCGACGAGCGTCGAGACTCGTATTCGAGTCTATCAGAGCTTCGCTGCAATGCTAAGTCGTAGTCGAAAAGTCTTTGTTCAACGCTACATTTGCGTCTTTCCTCATAAGGATGATCTCGCGCAAATCTTGCCCATTCATTTTTGGAAATCGCATTGCGATTAGAGTCTCTAGCCCATCGCGTATCTCCTAGAAGCGTGCTAGAGGTTATACGAGAATCCTGTGAGCTGCGACGACTGAACAGTTCGATGAGTTCTCTCGATGCATCGCTATATTGAGAACTTCGTCGGGACGGGGAGGTGTTAACATGACGGCCAAACTGTTCATTGTCCGACATCCTATATTGTTCATTCCTTATGTTCAGAGGAGGTTGCGTGATTGGTGGAAACTTACACAAACTTCCTCCTTTTGGTATTTACATCCATGAAATTGTCTTGCAGGTCGTGTTGCTTAGGTAGCACATTGAGACTGAGAAAATCTGTTCAGTGTAGAAAACCCGATAATGGAATTAAAGGCTGGATTGAAAATCGAACTACGCGCACGTTCAAGAACGTCTGTTCGAAGGAGCCTAATACAGATTGAAAGAAAAAGATCAAAGGCATGCGACTTGTAAGTTAGTGTTCTGTAATAGATAAACGACATTTAGTAGTGATACAAAGGTTTCAAAATTTCAAGATTATGCATTCATGCAAGAAGTTATCGCTCATCGCGATAATTCCCGTTATTTGCACATCGATTGGTTGGCTTTGCAAAAATGTCTTGCGCTGCGTTAAGATGCTCTGCTAAATTTTTCAGTCTTCCGAGCATGGGACAAGCACCATCAGTGAGCAATTTGCGCCCCCTAGGGAATGATAAATTGAACCTCTAATAAAGCGATAATTATTATTTGCCGGATCTATGTTCTAGTAACTTGAATAGACACAACATATCACATACGTTCTCCAAAGCTTGCGATTAGGCACTCTCACGGTTGGAAAGGCCAAGTAGGCACCGTAAGTTGGGAAGAATCCCCTGCAGAGAAATTGAAATTCTAGCACAATTTGCTTACGTAGTATTTCGTAGAGCTGACCAGTTGAAATTATCAAAGTACACAATAACATACAGCGGAGAGCACTTAAGAGTCATTTACAAAATTAAACAAAAGTGAAAGCTGTGTCTTGACGGGGAACTACATTCGTAATTTAAAATATCAGATAGTATAAGTGCGAACCATGTTGCCAAAATATAACGGAAACAAACGTACTTGTATTGCATGCGCTTCTTATCCGCCCCTTCTTCTCGTGCTTTGCCTGCTGCTCCATTCCCTGGCGCTGGGCTGTTATCTGTATTCGATTCAAAAGAGGTGGAAGCGGAAGAAGGGTCAGAAATTCCTGAAATCTTCCGACCTTTATTTGATACATTTGAATCACACTCGTGGTTTTGTCACAACACTTTGATTTTCATATATACTCAGTTTCAGCATTCAAGAAGTTGCATGTGAGGTTTAGTACTGAAAATATGACTTTTACTTTGAAAGAGAATATTAAGAGCAAAGTAGTTTGGGGTACAGGGAGAACAGCCTTTCAGGATGTGCAGAAAAGTTAGAAGATAACCAATTCATACAATTTATCTTTTTCATATGTAATAAACATGGGACAATAGAGATTAATCGACTTTTCGACTTAGTTTTAGATTAATTTAACTCTAATTAGTCTAAAACTAAGTCGAAAAGTCGAGCAAGTAATTTAAAAGATTTGAAAATCCTGACCATGTGTAGAGACTTCCATCTCTATCGACGAGCTATTATTTTGACGTCTGTCCGTGTGGACGAACCGTTTCCTGGCATTTTTACAGCGGGCTGCTTGTATGTATGCATGCATCCATGCGTGAGATACAAAAATGCAAGTGAGCGGAGCATCTCCGCCTACTTTAGCAAGCCCGCACACTTTTCAAAAATGCCGAAATTTGCACAGAATCCCCGAATTCGTGCAAATTCCGGCACTTTCAAAAAGTTGGCGGGACTTGCCGCTGAGGGGTGAAGCCTGCATAACGGGGGGCGGGGTTAGAATTAAGGTTATTTGTAATTCCCAGTCATCTACGAGCTTTTCTATGCAATTTGAGAACGAAAAAAGTTTTTATACAGGACAACAGAGCGGAATCTGCCATAAAGGCAACGGGGCCAACGAGATATTTCTGAGCTCAAATTGATTTGATCACAAATTGGAACTTTGTACACATTAGAACTGATATCTGGGGTGTTGCGCATTGCGCGACACTGTCGTCAACGTGTTGAATAAGGAGGTCAAAACAAATAGATTCAGCTTTTTGAAATGGATTTTTGACTGAGCAAGTTTGTGAAAGTTTGGCGTACCTCTTCTTTCAGAAACTGGTTCTAAAAGCAGAATCAACTATAGACTTCTCATGAGATTTGTAAGAGCATTTCTTTTAGTTCCTTAAAAATGCCTTGGCCTTCGCTGATGTTAGGTCGCTCCGAAGGTTCGTCGTTTTTCAGACCCATGCTCAAACCACTTGGTAAATGTAGACAAACAATGGTGTTCGACAGATTTCTTCCTTTTTCTAACGATTGCTTTTGTTCAGATTACTTTGATGTCCGCTCAAATATTCGCCAAATCTCCAACTTATTGTTTTTACCAATCCTGAGTTTGGCTATTTTTTGAAATTTCCGTTATCAGCTTTTGGATAGCTATGATGACACTTGGATAGAGTAAACGAAATACAAGACGATAAAAATTTAAGCCTCTTCAACTAGCTTTTCAGTATTTCTTAAAATAATTTTTCAATAGTCTTTGTTTTTGCGTAGTTGTGAAATACACAACCGCTCTAAATACTACAGACCTTCAGAATTTGCCTTCAAAAACAGCTTATGACTGAACACTGGTTTTATCAAGCAACTGAGATTTAGCGGTTCAAAATGCTGGATTACGAATTTTCTGGTACAACCTAGGACGAGTCTGAAAGCAAAGCAATGATTCTGTCCTCAAATAACAAATTACGAAGAGAAGAAGTTTTAATCAGAAAGTGGAGAAAAAGCTGTATCGAATCACTTTGCTTGTTCGCCGTCCAAATATGGAAATTGATAGCATCGTAAAAATATTCTCAGAAATTGAGAAACCAGGTAGAGTGCCATAAAAATGCATTGCATTTTGCTTATTCTATCCAAGTGTTATCAAACTAATCAAAAGTTAAAATCGGATAATTCAAAAAAATAGCCAAACTCAGGATAGGTAAACCATGGGCTGGAAAAGTCTGACGATTATTCCACCATAACCATTAGAAAGATAAAGAAATGCTGCACCGAACAATGTTTAATGCAGAATCTATTTCTAAAGCGTTTGTCTACCATTATACCAAGTGGTTTGAGCATGTTTCTGAAAAACGGCACGAACTCTCGGAGCGACCTGTTATTGAATTGGCGCGAAAGTTCTTGCGCAAATTAGACGAAAATCAATAACTTTTCAAATGCTAGGTTTAAATTCACTTCGATAATTTGATAATAATAAAAGGTTTGCGCCTTATAATAGATGTTCAAGCATAGCATTCTACGGATTAGCCACCAAGAACAAAGCTTGCGAAAATGGCGTTTCAAATTCGCGATTTCGGCTTTGGGGCGCTAGAAACTCGCAGAGAGCCGCCAGCTAGCCCAAGAAAATGACAAAAATTTCTTAAACAGCAAAAGTCTATATATTCTTGGCATTCTTCATTCTTGTATGATGACGTATGAACAAATCTATAAAAATTGTCATTGTTTGCAAAAAAAATCATCTCATTACTGCGCTTTTTCAGCAAAAAAGTGGTTTTTGCAAAAAGCGTCACATATTCTAAATAGACACCAGATTTGATTCCTTGTTCCAAACTGTGTTCCGATGAAAAAAAAACTGCAGCTGTAACGGGGATTTTCCTGTAAAACGACACTTTCCCAAATTTGTTTTTTTTTGCATTTCCATACAAGGTTGAAGCCTGCTCAAGTAACGTATGGACTTACTGTAAAACAAGGAATGTATGTTTTGTCGAAGTGGCCTTCTCAGATGGCATGTATACCATAGTGAACGGCATAAAATGCTGATTTCAAATCTGCCTTCCTTATCTGCAGAACGTCTATGAATGAGGAGTTATGAGCGCTTATCGGAGCGAAGAATTGAATTTGCAAGTAGGATAAAAATAGCGGTAATAATTTTTCTAGCTCTCCAATGGAGCAGCGACAATCATCAGAGCACTTTATTCAAAAAACTCTGAAATAAAAAATATATCATACTTGGTTGCATAATTTGAGGGCTACTAAAATTTCAGCAACTCATTTTATCCAAATTGCGCACTCAATTCCTCGCACTAAAAACGCTCATAACTCCTCGTCCATAAACGTTCTGCAGATAAGAAAGGCAGTTTTGAAATCAGCGTTTAGCCCTTCAACATGATATACATCTCATTCAAAAAAGCCACGTTGATTGAACAAGCTTCTCTTGTAAGAATTTTTTTACACATTTGGGCTAACTAGCGGCCCTCGCGCTTTTCTAACACCAAACTCAAAATCGCAAAAATTGAAATGCCATTTTTGAAAGCTTTGTTCTCGGTGGCTAGCATAAAATTGCCATGCTTGGACATCTATTACGCAGTGCAAACTTTCTGCTAATTTTAGGATACGAGCTGTGAATCTAAGTTTAGTATTTCGAAAGTTTTTTGATTTTTGTTATTACGAAGAACTTTCGCGTCAACCTAACATTTGTTCTTTCTAAAGCCTTCTAAAACGATAGACTAAATTTATTCTTTTTGCTCTCCTTGTTCTACATCCATGAATAATGATCAAAAATTTTTCAAGAATGTGCATAACGATTGCGAAGTTCTACAAAATACTTTCTCAAACAAAAATTTTGAAATTTTATTGCAAACTTGGGTGGTCGTTGGAAGCATTCTGTGCCTTGTAAAACTCGCATGCAAAAAACGATTGCAAACAAACCTGCCGCACTGTACAGCAAGGTTGAACTCGGTACATTCAGTGGTATAACAATGGTAGGGTTTCCTCACCTCCCAGTGAAGAAACTTTGCAGATTCAAAAAAGCAATTTTTGAACGCCGAGATGCCCAATAAATTAGTAGCTGTATCCGAAGCAGAATTTCTTCCTCTTTCCAGCTGTTGTATTCATTACGTGACAGAGTGCTAAGATAACCGCTGGAGATTACAATCCTTCGTTTTCACCATGTCCAACTTTCGCTGATTTCCAAAGTTCTTATGTGAGAAAGCTTTAATAAATAGCAGGTAGAGCAAATCTTTTGCCAACTGAGGCCATTTTTGTAGCTCCGTAGCTTGTCCTTCAAAATGTTCAAAATATGTTTTGAATTAAAGAAACTTTATATTCTGTCTATTCTAAACTCGTTGAACAGAAATTGTAAACAGTCAAGGTACCATTTCTCCTTGAAGCAAAAAACGCTCGTTGCAAGGCTAGTAATAGTAATAACCGAGTGAAACGTCATTAATCTGAAGAATTTGCAGTGTTGGTGCAGGTTATGCCATTTTTCCAGAACGCAAGACTCTAACCCTTGGAAAATTAATTGCAAGAATTTTGAAAGAGTAGTTGAAAAATGAAGAAAATTGCTTTATTTGACAAAGGGTTTGGGCTACATGCTGGTTATTGAAGCACCCCAGAAGTCTCATGTGAGAATTTTAGAAATTGGCGAAAGTTGGACAGGATGGAAACAAAGGACTGTAATTTCCAACATTATCTCAGCACTCTCTCAACGAATCACATTGTGAATATGGAAATAAGAAGATATTCTGCATCGAATGATACTCGAAATGTTTGTTTGTCTTCACTGTATGAGATCTGCGGGTCCTTTAAAAAAATTTTTGGAGCGATTTAATACTCTGATTTCTCGCAATATTTCCCCTTCTGAGAAAAAAAAATCCGTAAAATTTGAATTTGGCACCACTGCATATCCGACCAAGGCTACACAACGAGCAGAGTGCTCATTATCCTGCTACATTTCGGAGTAATTATGGTCTCTCACTAGCAGTACCCAAGAAATAGGCACTTTTCATGCTAGAAATCTTCCTTTTCTGCATATATTAGGTTGGCGCAAAAGTTCTTTCCGCCCAAATTCAAAAATTCATAACTTGTTGAATTCTCAACGAAACTGCAAGATCTAAATTTTGCTTGAGAGAGAAACTCATGCTCTTTGCATCTATACCTGAACTGTTCGTTAAAGTTTACAACTTAAGGAGATAGAAGCTCAAAACCAAAATCACTCAAAATTTGAATTTTTCGTGTAGGGTCATAAAAAATGGGAAATTTGCAACAAAAATCGGAGCAGTCAGGATTGTAGGTTCTTTCACCAGCTCTTTCTAAAGGTGCAAAGTTTGCGCTGATTGAGCGTCTCTATAAAAAGTTATGATTTCCCTGAAAAATGCCAAAATATTAGGTTGGCACATAAGTTTTGCAACTTTTCCCGTAACTTTTTTCCTATTTTATGTAGCAATCTCATTTTGTGGCATCATGTAGATCGTGATGTAAGCTGCAAGTCTGCGCAAACCGTTTGATTTTTGATAACGTAGTACAAACAATCCAAGCATTTTTTGAAAACTGTTGAAAATCGAGGTTTCACGATTTTTCGGCAAACATGAAGCCCTACGAAACCTGATTCAAACATATGAAAAAGCAATTATAGGCAGAATGTAGCTGGAAGTTGGCACATTGGAATCAGTGAAAAAGAAATGAAATTTAAACACAAATTAAGGAGGGGCGCCTTTGAGAAGTTGAACAAGTCAAATGCGTCAAGTTTTGAAGGCAATTTGTCAACAACTAAGCTGCGAAAAGTCAGAATTCGCTATAACTTTGCACTATAGGGCAATCCCATGCGGTAAACACGAATATCATATTCACTTGTCGCTAAAGTGAAATTCATCTTTTGATCTCACGAACGAGGCCTTTTTATGCGAAACGGATCTCATTTTTGTGATCAGCATGTCAAATAAGCCCCATAGGCCAAGTTTCAGCAAAATCTGATGCATTCTAAAAATTTTCCCATAGTACCGTAAACCTACCGTAATCCTCACATAAGATAGTAAAATTCGGCAAAGATGTGTGCATTAGAAGCTTACATCATATTCCTTATATTGCCAAAAAATGAATGCGCTACGTTCATTTAGACAAAAGTTATATAAAAAGTTGCATTACTTATGTGCCAACCTAATAAATCAAATTCGCCCTTTTGTATTGCTTGCTCGAAATTCATAACTTTTCATAGAGACGCTCAATCAGCGCAAACTTTGCACCGTTAGAAAGAGCTGGTGAAAGAGCCTAAAATACTGACTGCTCCGATTTTTGTTGCAAGTTTCCGATTTTTTATGACCCTACACGAAAAATTCAAATTTCGAGTGATTTTGGTTTTGAGCTTCTATCTCCTTAATTTGTAAATATTAACAAACAGTTCAGGTACAGATGCAAAGAGCATGAGTTTCTCTCTCAAGAAAAATTTAGGTCTTGCAGATTCGTTGAGAATTAAACAAGTTATGAATTTCTGAATTTGGGCAGAAAGAACTTTTGCACCAACCTAATAGTTCTACAAAGATACAAGTATGTTTTCTCCATCAGCTATCGCCGCTATGTAAATATTTTTATCTTAAGCACCACCAATGCGAATGACTTTCATCTCATGATTTCAGTATCTCGACATCCCGACGGATATAAAGGAAAGTGTGTAACAAGGATGGGATGACGCAATCGCGTGACATTGCAGCCTAGATGTTCTAAGATCCTCCAATCCTTCCCCAACTCAAACCCTAAAGTTGGAATTCCGGTACAAAGTATCGCTTATACTCGTTAAATTCAGAACACAGCATGGTCTGGCAAGGTGAGTCAAAAATGTAACCTTACCCAGAGCATGCAATTCCTCCAAATGGCCTTTTGCAGCCCACAGGGATTGACAAGCAGCTGCAACAGGGGTCTGAAAACAGGGTATAAGAGCGCACTATGAAGGTAGCACTGCACTGACCTCCGGTTGTAAATGTTGTGCCGTACTTTGCCGAGTCAAAGAGACCGTCCGCCTATCCGTAGACATCCGTCGCATGTCGCGTGGCGAACCACTTCTTTCGTCAAACGATTTTGCCTTGATAAATTCAATTTTACAAAATCATGGCTTAATGTATGAAAAATGTCGCACCTGCCTGGGAAATTGTCGAACGCTTAAATGATTGTTTGATGGCTCATTAATCACAGGTATAAATGTGCGTTCTTCGGGATAAATTTCATTCTGAAATGACATGATAAAACGAATTGCCACCTTCTCCACGCTATTCATTAACAAAAAATTATCTCTGAATTTTGCTTACACATTTTTACTCATATGTTCCATTATTTGCTCGTTTATTTGGATATAATTTGCCCGATATTAGTAAAGCACTTGGTGTCCCAAACATGTGGCAGGTGTTTACTTCTACATGACTTGCTTGTTGGAAAGCTTTCACGATCTATGCATCAGTAGGTCTGAGTTCAATACAGAATTGCTGCAGAACACGGAGCACATTATTGTAGGAAACAGAAACTGGGCATTATTGGCGTTTCCGCATACTGACTGCCTTCTAAATACTTGCAAGGAGTGAATCCCTTTGTAAAGGAATTCACCCACCAGTTCCAACAGATAACTTGTACACATCTGCAAGCAGTTTAGATATTAATGAAGGCGACAGCCTACTTTTTTCGACATTGCCTTTGTTTAGTACACTAGTCTTGGTATACGTTCACGTGTATTAGATGATAAAAGTGAAGATAATGTGATCGCATTTCTGTTGAACTGGAACTACCGTCTTTGCGATATTTGGCGCATTTTATGAATTTGAATTTAGGTTAAAGTGTAAAGCTTTTGCTAGATTAAGGACCTCAATTTATTCGCGCAAATCCCGTTCCTTCTTAATTTTTAGGGCAAAATTTGCTCTTACTGACGCGATACTCACGTAAATGTTCTCACCATAACCAACAGTAAAAAAGAGGATTTGACTCTTATGCTATGGAGAATTTCCAAAGCAGGCCGTACAAACTGGTAGATACCTAGAGATCCGCAAATGCCCTTAGAAAGAAGGATTATTAACAATCAAATGTTTGCCATATTTTTGGGAGCCATAATTAGTTAGTTAGAGTTAATTCGAGCTTTTTTTCGGCGCACTTCAAGTAATAAATAAATGAATAAATAAATAATAGCGGTTAGCTTTCATTCTTATCAAACTGTCAGTGCCTTTTACTTTAGTCAAAAATGCAATTTGCTCTGAAATGAGGGATTACTTGCATCCTATAATACAGCTGAAATTTCAGTCGACCGCTTTATTTGATTCTTTAATGTTTGATTATCAAGCCATAACATACCCTCTGATAGTAATTGTAATCATTTTGCAATGGTGGTGACGATTCACGGCCTGTTTCGACATTCCATGATCGCGAATGCTCATGTCCTCGCTCATAGATTCGTGGATGTTGCGGCAATGGGTTAGAAACCTTAAAAAGAGTCCTCTTTGAAAATTCTTGTTTCAACTATTCTGGCACATACTACATTCTAAAAACCCTACATGATACACACGCACATTGTAAACTCGGCAAACTGTTGAACTCTGTCATGGAAGTTTGCTCTATTATCTCATGTTTTCTGCATTAGAGTTGAATCACTGCAATTCATCTTGCGAGGAAAACACACCACACCCCAAGAAGAAAACGAAAAAAGCATTATAAAGGTTTGTTCAGCAACTTTCTGCCTACAATGCAAACGAATTATGATTATCATAATTACACTCAAACTTTCATACATATATCGAGAATCTAGCTTGTGTCCGTTGCAGAATCTAATTAAGAAGGCGAGAAATGGGTTAAAGAAAGATATTGATTTGAGCTGATGAGCTTGGTGTCGAACAACCGTCATGATTACTTTCTAGTCGTAAATCGTATCCAAATTCTTGATTTGTTTTAATAAGACTACCTGCTTAATTGGCTGATATCCTTGAATTGCGTCACTGCGAGACAGAGTGCTCATGCGCCGTAGTCGATCCGCATACTGCTTCTGAAGATTTAGGTTCTGTCTTTCCTATCAACAAAGGTGAAGAAACAGATTAAGAACCCTTTATCTCCAGAGGGAAATTTTTCAAAGTTGTGTTCCGAAGTAATGTGTTTGATTGAGCTATGTGCACCATTACAACATTGACATTCCCTGCTTGCGAGTCAGATACAAACTTTATCTCATCGACAGCGGAGGATGACTCGAGCGGGAAGGGGACTCCAATTAGTAGAATTGCAAGTCTCCAATTCAATTGTAAGATTTTTTCATGATAACCTATAGCACTTTTTTAAATAGCATGTCTTCAATGCATCGTCAACACTTCGTAACTGTCCGCTATAGTCATATAGTGTAAAAACCTACGAGGGAGCGTCAGAACTCAATCCAGTCAGACCAAACCACTGTAAATAATACCCAGAAACGCTGACCTCAATCATATGTGTTACCCGCTAAGATATCTGGAAAGATCTATGAGCGTTAAAAAATGCGGATATCAAGTATTTCGTGATGCATGTTTCAAAAACCCTTATTGAGGTTTTAGCTAATGTGCGTCTTCTCAGTAATTACCCTGATTCTACAAGCACAGGGCGCATCTGTTTTTTTTCTAACAACCAGTCTGAACACATCCAAGAACTTTGCGACTAAAGAACCCTCTACGGTGCTACTCCCTACCTAAGTGAATCGCGCGGCACAATGGTTCGACCGAGCTGCTGCTTGAAAAAATTAAAAGTATTGTACTCGGAAGACTAGGGTAGGATTCTGATAATCATTGCAATCATGCCGCTCACGCTGCCTTGTAACGGGCTCTCTTTATTGGAACTTCAAAATTTCCATTTCAAACATTCATAACTCCTTCCATATAGTCGTTTAGCACCTGGTAAACCACATATTTGCTTGCTGTTTCCATGTGAGTGCGAGATTCCTGATGATGGGTCACGTTCTGTTTATTTTCTCGTTGGTTTGAAGCCATATTAACATTAAAACCGCTTGCAACTGATCCAACTCCATTTCACAGAAATTTTGAGCAAGAAAATTGCTTCCGAATACTTCTAAACACATGTATACTGGACGCTCCGAAATGATGACAGATGCGTTTTCGCTTGATGTTTGTTCGCTCGGGATGTGTAGTCTTTCTTGCACATCGAGCATTTAAGAAAGAAAAAGTTGTCCAAGTGACGAAACAGATGACAGTAATGTTTAGAAAGCTTCAAGTTTTCCACTTGTATTTCTTCAAAGTTCGCTGAACTCTTCTTCTCTTTATTCCGGTCTATTACGATGTACATGCCAGCTCAGAATCTTCCCACGACTTTTTGAGTCCCATCAGACTTATTCACATTGTCTGGTATTCAAACAGTGCTTCAGACTTTCTTTGACTCACCAACTGCACAAAATTTTTCCGCAAAATTCTCTGCAAACATCAAAGAGTAGTGGTGACAGCATGTTGTAGGAGCACAATGGGCTTGTCTTTTTTGCCACCGTTAAATCTATCGTTGACAGTTTTTTCCCGGATCATAATTGTGTGACCAAGTTTCTTTATTTGCCGAGTAAACGTTTACTCTGAAACCCTGAAAAGCAAATCTGCAAGTGTCTATTGATAAATAAGCGTCACAAAGTAAGCGCAAAATAAATACAAGACTAAGTCCAAAAACACTATCCAAGTCGAGCGCACTTTAATTATCACGGAATATATAGGCGATTCCCATGCGTATAGCGTATAGCGGGCGTGGCCTTGCAGACATTTGGTTGAGAAACTTGTTGAACCTCCATTCTAAAGCATTAGTTTTTGTACTCTTTAGCTATCAGAAACTGCCACGCACATACATTGGCAGACATTGGCAAAGCTCCGCTCACTATACTCTGGGCAATAGACAATAACTATATTTTCTTCAAGTTTGCTCTGCGATCATTTCTGAATAAGAATCCGGGATGTCAAGACGGAAGAAAATTGACTATTGGAAAGGTAATACAGATGAATCTACCTGCACAAAAATCCACTTATCTCAATAACTGTCACACAGTAAACCGACTGGATTAATGGAACTATATATAAGAGTAAGACAAGGCTGCACGAAATCTACCCCATGTAAGAAGAAGGAAGAAGACAAGGGCAAGACTCTCGTCCCATGCTGCCGATGGTCCAATAGGCTTGATCCGTCCCAATTCTTTAGAGATTTGTCTACAAGCCGAACGCAATCCGCTAATTTCTTTACGAAAAGAAATAAATACCCGCTTTAACTGATATACTCTTGTTTCTACTTTCGAGTACAAATGCCCCGAAACGAAAAAGAATAGTTGAGAAGAGGTGTATAAATCATTCGAGCTCATCTGAATATACCCGTCGTCTTACCGCGAAAGGGGGGTGGGGGAGTTCACCTGCGAAATAGTAGCACGTAAAATGACTGCAAACAGTGCTCTTGATTGTGTTCTCAGGAACAATACACATGTGGAACTAAAACTTTCGCGAAATGCCTCTTATCAAAAATTCTCGACGTCAGTTGAATGCTCTTTAATCTACAAAACTAATATGTTGTTGTTTGTGTCAGTAATAATATTTTGATAACAGGTTATTTGGTTATCTGACAGAACATTACAATTTGCCTTCCTCAGAGGTCCGAACTAGATCATAGGCATTTCTATCCGTTCATCACATCGCCGTGGACCGTCTTTTACGGTACGATAATATGTAGTGTCCTCAGATCAGGCGATGAGCACTTGGTGGCAGTGGCTCCCGTTTACTTAAAAACAGTGGCTCGCCAAGATGGTTCCCTTTCGATTTTGATGGTTTAAGTAGTGGACCGCCCAAGTACACCGTAGTTCCAACCCTACTCTCCAATTCAGCGTGAATGCTGACGCATTTCGAACTTCCACAAATGAACTCAATGGAAGTGAGCGGAGCTGGTGGAGTTATAAAGCGCTTTTCAGGACTTAGCGCATGAGCTGGAAGGTAGGGTTGGGGCTACAGTCTAGTTGGGCGGTCTACTATCTAACACTATCAAAATCTGGTAGGGGTCTATTTTGCCAAGCCATTGCCTTGAAAGGCAGCGTCTCACAGAATGAGGCGGTGCGGGTCTCCACATACAGTTGTTTTCAAAAGGTATCGGTTTTTTCTACCGTATGCCTTCCAGCCTCAACATGACGTGGATTGGCGTGGGTTGGTGTGGATTGGTGTGGATTGGTGTGGATTGGTGCGGCGCCGCCGAGAAAAGCAATGCGGCGCAAACCCGAAGCGATGCGGCGCCTCACCAATCCATACCAATCCACACCAATCCACGTCATGTTGAGGCTGGAAGGCATACGGTAGAAAAAACCAATACGTACTGAAAACGACTGTACTTTCTTAGAGGACCCCTTGAATAGGCGGCCGACCCAACCGACACGATCCGGGCCCTTCTAAGCCGAGAAATTTGCCCTCAAAGTGGCCCGCAAAGCGCGATATGGAGTCCCTCCAGCTACCAATGTGGCGAAGGTTAAGCTGAAAGGCACAACCCCGTCCGCGTTGCTTCCACTAAGCTTTCGAAGAATGGGGTTTTCGTACATGCGATTTTTGACTCGCACGAGTTACACAGGGACGAAAAGGCTTGCACTATGCAAAAATCTCGGCGACCAAATTTTGATGAGACAGTGCCTTTAAGTCAACTGATGTCACCAGTGACATAAGGTTGTTCCGTTTCAAAGCTCCGCTTTTATGCTGGCTATCGACTGAGCTGAGGACACCATATCGTACCATATCATAAGAGACGGTTCTCGGCGTTATGGTGAACGGATCGAAATGCCTATGATCTAAGTTTGGAGCTCTGGGGAAGGCAACTTGTTTAAAGTCGGGTCTAATAGATATCCACCAAAAAACCTGTTATCACAATTATATTAGTGAAACATACATCTAGAGTGCGGTTTTGTAATATCCACATGGCAAAGAATGGTAAGAGCGCATCATATGCAAATTATGGTACTAAAAACTGATATGTTGAAAACGTGATGTGGAACATTGATCTTGGTTGCTCTTAATTATGGCTTGTGCACGAATTCAGCATATCTGTGCGGGGCCGAAAACGCGCGTCACAAGGGAGATTCATCTCAGTGGCTAGAGAAGAAGTGACCACAAGTCTTACTCATCCAGGAAAAGAAAGCATAGGCCGCACCCATCTGTTTGCTCTCCACATCATCCGCATCGAAACCAAAACGCACCCTGGTTCAAGCGAATGAAGTGAATGAAGCGGATAAGTATGGCGTGAGCCGAAGATGCTTCGGCCCGCAGCACCAATAGATTGTGTCATTCACTGCGGATACCCGCCATGCGGCTGGACAAGCTGTAATTCAAATTTTATTGGGTTCACGTAGAATAGTTCAAATCATCGTGACGGTGCATGATGTATGCAATTATTGTCATTGAACTACCAAAATATTGTCATCTGGCGTAAGAAATCCTCTTTCTTGTCTGCCACCAGTATTCTGCTCTTCTTTTCGTGCAGTCCATTTTATTGCTGGATTGATTGGCATTGACTACAGCATCCATTAAACCATTTTATCATGTTGTCCTTACTTTTTATGGAATTCCACACTACTTAAGTGCAATCGTTGCAATTCTGGTTAGCGTTAGCGATATCTTACTGACAAGGAACCATACATATATACAACGTCCTACCTATTTATGCATTAGAAGCGTCGATTAGCCTGCCTCTTTTTGTAATGGGAAAACCATATCCAACACAATCGTAAAGGTTTTTTATGCATTGCTTGCTATGCATAAAGCTTGAAATGGCTCGCATATTGTCAAGCATATTGTCATATGCTCAACAACATGCGGGGCATTTCAAGCTCAAGGCGGCGTCCGGGCACCTTCCCGCTAATTCCGAAAATGCAGCTTGCATGGTAAAAATGCCCCAGATGGGCTATTCCGAGAGCCCATCGTTTTAAATTCATGGACGCTTGCCGCCGAGGTTAACAGCAGAGTCGTGGTGGGACCCTATGCCTTGACTATGTGCGATGTAGGCACTCTGGCTATCGATTGAGGGCGGGGGAGGGGAGGGGGGAGGGGTCAAGCCGCTGGGGCGTCTAACAAGGGAAGTTCACTTATTCGAAGTGGCGATTCGGAAGGAGATCTATACCAGTGGATAGAGCTCAAAAAGCTGATCTCAGATGTACCTTCTATATCTGCGATGCGCCGTTCTGAAAAAAGTTATGAGCTTTTCTAAAGCCAAATTTTCGTGCATTTTGAGTCGCAAAATTATGATAATCGCTATACAAAAGTGTGCAAGCTTAAGCAAACCACCTAGTAAGTATTGTAGGTCTAATTCGACTTCATCCGAACGTTTCGAGTGTTTTCCGACCATGTCGTTTATTCACAGGCCGTCATTTGCTTCCTTTATCACACTTCCATTATGTATACAAAAAAACCCCCATAATCTCCAATTAAAAGAACGCGTGGCGTCGGAAACTTTTTTTGGAAACTACCAGTGGATAGAACGTAAAACGATGTTCTCAAATATATCTTCAATATCTGCGACGCGTTCTTCTAGATGGAGGTTATGCTTTTTTGTTTATATAACGGAAATGTGATAAAGGAAGCAAATGACGGCCTGTGAATGAACAACATGGTCGGAAAACACTCGAAAACGTTCGGATGAAATCGAATTAGACTTACAATACTTACTAGGTGGTTTGCTTGAATTTGCACACTTTTGTATAGCGATTATCATGATTATGCGACTCAAAATGCACGAAATTTGGCTTTAGAAAAGCTCATAACTTTTTTCAGAACGACGCATCGCAGATATAGAAGGTACATCTGAGATCAGCTTTTTGAGCTCTATCCACTGGTATAGATCTCCTTCCGAATCGCCACTTCGAATAAGTGAACTTCCCTTGTAAGTCGCCGCCTCTAAAGCATTTTCTTGCTTCAGAACCAAATTGATGCGATGCTACTTGAGCAAGAGCTTCAACGGAGAGGGGGCTTTAGCGACCTATATTTTTCTTGTGTCAAGTCTGCCCCACACTGCCTTCAAGGTCCATCCACTTATGCGCTCCGCTCTGTTGCAGTGAAGTTCAAGAATGAAGCAGAAGGAATAAGAAGAATTGGCCCCAACCGCAGGAATTCTACACCATCACATCATCTGCTGTGAAACATTAGCAAGCATAAACGAACATCGTCATTTCTCATTTCTTTCGCTCATACTTGTATACACTTTGACTCATAGTAGCTTGTGTGCAGCGGCAGCAGATTACACCGTTTCAAAGAACTTCCAAAGTGCTGTTCCCGCCACAATTCGACGCTATTTCAACGATATGCTATGGAATTTTGTCACATGTACATTTAACAACAGAAAGAAAGCGAGATAAACTCGCAGGGGCTCAAAAAAAATTATTTTTTTTTGTAGTAAACACATTTATTGCTGGACAGGTTGACATTGACTGCTGCCGCAGACAGAGAGTAAGGAGGGGAGAGGGGGGGGGGGGGGATTTCGCTCAAATTCAATACTTGATTTTATCGCAAGTTTCATAATAACAAAGCAGTACTTTTTTACGCATATTTGACTGCAAAATTGCGGCAGTGATAACAAAAAATATAGATAATAAAAAGCAAATCAAACAGTGTGGTACAAAAAAATAATGCATAGTAAAATGTGAACATAAGTAAACCATGAATTACTTAATATGTATGCAAACAAATACAAATATGCTATATAATCTATACGTATATAAAACTAAGTTTGTGAAAAAACTAAAAACTAAGTATGTTTCCGTGAAGTATGTGTCGAATAGAATTTTGTGATTGAACCAAGAAGCGCCAAATTTTGCACACACATGTTTTCGACTTCTGCGCACACGACAGACTAGTTTTTGGGGCGAGTTGCTCAGTTTTTCTATCGATTTAACTTCGAGCACTTTGCAGTGAGAATGAAGTGTTATCAGCCGCTATACCGCTAGCACATTTTGATTAAACAATGGGAGTATCATTTTCATCGCATGCGCTTACTTAGAGGCAATCCACGTCACTCTGTGTAAGTGGGGAGACGGTCGAATGGCGCGTATTGATCGATTGTCACTAATCAGAAAAACCAGGAAAAACTCGAAATTGGTTTAGTACTTCCGGAATTCAACTAGTAATCCTCTGTTACTATTTCTGATATGATGACAAAACTTTAGAAGTTTGGAAACCTCGCTTTTGTAGATTACAAAACCCTCCTGGCAGTGACGCCTGCCGAAACGCGCGCCTTTCGACATACACCCGTATAAGTGTACATTTCGATAGGCACTGGCCCTGTGCAGGAACGACAGATTTTCGCTTTCTCGATTACTTGTCAACAATTTATCTTTTTTCATGGCTCTTTGGGTTGATGTATCGCCATCGCGGTGGTGCACTGTGGATGTCAAGTGATGTAATTAACATAATGACGACCGCTTGACAGACATGATGTGTCAAGCAATGACTGCCGCGTGGGACCGAATTTTGTTGAAATGACTACTATCCTGGGGTAAACTCATTCTATGACCTTTTTTGCATTGAATCTAGAGACGACTTCTACCTTTTTTGTCAGCCTTCCAGATCTACTGTAGGTATACTGTAGATGGCAGTATGCGTGATTATAACCAAAAAATGTGGGCTGGTCCGTAACAGGCCTTGGTCCCAGAAGGCAAACAACTAAAAATCTGCATGGTCGTCATTGTGTTAAAGTGACTGCTAAGCGACTAAATCTCGCATCGCAGGTAAGAGAAAAAGGAAAGAACGTAGAGAGTAAGGTTAGAGCCTGTGAAGGATGAGAAAGGACGGGTAGAATAAAAGTAAGGGATTTGTCTTAGATACTCCAGATTTCCTTCTCGGGTATGTCGCTTTGCCATTTACTACACTGCTCGAGTGGGGCCAGGGTATCCAGCTAGTATGGTCTATGTTGTTAATATAACAGGCAAATCAATATGGTTATTTCCTATTCGAATGTGTAAATGCCAAAAAATATAAACAACCCTTCAAAAAGTTTTTTTTCGCTTCCGAGCAGCATTGGCATTTCGAATTCCTAAAATATCATTGAACCAAACCTGGCACCATAAAGAATGTTTTTTTTATTCAGGACGAAAGACCATACAATTTCTTCTATAATGTAAGTGCTCAAATTTTCAGATCATTAAATTTTTCTGCCTCATCAAAAAAAGCAACAACATTTTTCGAGAACATACTTCCAAAATATTATATTTGACAACACATTCTTTAATCTGCGATCGATGTCTTCTCAGATTAAATGGGACTGTCACCTAAGGAAAATAATCATGTGCGAAAAGAAACTGATCAAAATGTGGACATAAGCACATGACTTATAATAAAACCTCAAGTAGATTTTATCTCGTAAATGTTGCAACAAAAAAGATTTCAGGTCACAATTCTATTTCAATACGTGATCTTGACATTTATTTCTATAACTGTGATGAGATGCCAATGATAAATGTGCCAGAGTTGAGATAACAGTCATTGTTGGCGGCTCACAGTTTTTATTGAGTAGCGAGATTAAAAAGTGGTTTTTGAGAAAACATTTACATTTCTAATTCCTGAAGGCACCAACCCAGATTCTCGACTTCCATGCTCTTATCGTTTCGGGACCTTCCCATGTCCCTGATTTCGAATATGAAGTCGAAAATCCGCGAATCTCCAACTATCCTTGTTCGGGAGAAACCACAGACCGGTTTTCTGGAACGGTGATTGGATGGACGCGCACGAAAGGGCGGGCATTACTGGAGCGGGCGGTACCAACTTGAGGTACTCATGCATCTTCGCTATTCCGAATCGATTTTCTCGCTTTCGAAGCGACATTTTGCGCCACGATTTGGATAGGGGGTCCTGCTATCATAAACTGCCAAAAGCTCAAGACCCCTTTAGGATGGGTGGTGTCTTTAATGCGACATGTCAGAGATAATATATAAGCTGATCATAAGCGCTTAGAATTCTACTTAGTGCTTATCTCCAAAGATAATCCTCAAGCTAAAACTTGCTAGGATCTGAGAAAAACAAACTTGTGATTCCTCCTTGACTAGAAACCAGCAAACACAAGCTGGAATTATGGAAGGGCATATGATTCACAAATCGGTTTTCTCTCTCAAAATCTCGCTATTAGATGACAATTCCTTGCTTAAAGAGAGTATAAATCGAAAAATGGAGAATAATTTTATTCCTAGATGATTTTTGACTCTATTTGATTTTTTTATTGCCAACTGTGGTTACAAACCATGGAACTTCGAGAGATTCTTTGAAACAAAAATTCACTGCAAGTTTCTTATGCATTTCCAAGGAAACCTTCTATGTAATGCAATATTCTGAGAATTTGTCATATAAAAGATTTTTTTTCTGAGTATCGACGAATAGCACTGCGACGCGTCCACATACATTGTAAATAATGATTTTTTGTCAAGGTGATGTCATCTATTGACCCAGGACTCATGTTGAAACTCTTCTGTTTTTCCCCCTAAAATTTTTCTTCCTTAGCTTTTCAATTTCCAAGAAACTGTACCGATCC